CTTGCTTGAAGAAAGAGAGATAAGAGGCCATCATTGACTGGAGAATGTCAAGAGAAGATTAGGATCGCGTTACATGCACGCCCTTTATACCTCCGCTTGAAGGGAAGTTGAGTATCATGATTTGATGTTTTTTGCGTCCGGTTCCACGAGATACCTGTTGTATGCAACTGAGAATACCACAAATGGGTTTTTTTAAATCCGAGAAACGCAACCTGCTGAAGGGAGGATAAAGGGAGCAATCCAAACAGGGAACTTCAGTTCTGTACCACATGTGTATTACACCCACTTATGCCGACTGCATCAGCTGCCTGTTGCGATGTTATCCCTGCAGTTGCTTACTAGGACAAACTCGCTTTACAGAAAACATGCACAACTGGGTGAGTGACACGAGACCGTGTATGGCCACCGCAAACGCCAATAGAGCAGTTACCATTTAGAGAGAGAACAAATCACCTGAGAGGACTAGGAACATTCATCAGGAGTGTGAGTGCATGATTGCACAGCGCTAGTGAGGGGGGAATGCAGAATGTTGCGTGTTGGCCGGGTTTGCGGGACAATACAGTATCGACATAACACCTATCGGTTCAGCTCTGGTAGCATAAGCAGTGAAAACATGCGTGGCGATCGCTCCAGGGCACCTGACAAAACCAGGTCGAATGAAGTTGACCAGGAGTTAGTGGAGAAGTGTCAATTGAATTCACATCATGTATATCAGCTCACCACGTGGTCATGATCAGTAGACAAAGCAAACCATCGCTCTATTCTTTTCTCGACCGTGGCTGACTTAAAGTACGAGGCCTACTGAAAGTACGAGATAGGCCTCAGTCATGGCAACCTAGAAGCATTCTCTCCAACGTCCTGCAAGGATCATCAAAGTACAAGGCTTAAAGAACCAACTATTTTGAAGTTCCTACGAGCGAAGTGAGCTGCAGCTCTTCAAAGAAGACAAACAATCGGACTCGTTTCTATGCTCTCCGAGTCCTCACTTATCAGAACATTTCTTCCCGGTTTCTTCTGGTAGCCTCGTGGTCTACGGAATTACTGTGAAGCTTGGCAAACTCTTAGCCTCTTGGCAGATCTGTTGGGTCAATAAGTGTACGCTGTACCAATGACTATCTCCTGATTTTCTTTAGCGCCCAGCGTTCCCAAGCCAAGAAAACTTGCCATTTTTTCCGAACAAAACACGCCTCTTGAGCTCCAGTCTCTTCCGATCCATTTTTTATATCCCGATTTTTGTATATCCAGCATTTCCTCAATAAATTCCCATATTCGAGCCATAAATGCGCGTATATTACGACTGCTGTCTAGCGATACGCTTATAACTACAGCAGGAATCATTGTTGGGCATTAGCTACTCAACTTCACCCTCGGGAATTTCTCGAATGTTAAACTGTGGATACAACTTCTAGAAGTTTACCAGAGCTCTAAGGGCGGCGATGAGAATGCAAATCCGTCACCCCAGTCTTTGCGTTACTGCTACGTGGAACAGCCGAGCGGTCTTCAAAGCAGCCCATCTATCTGTAAATATAACTTTTTATCTAATCAGTCTGGGACTGGGCACATTGCATTCCGAACTCTTGGAACCGTGTGTGCACATCTGATAGCTTTCTTAAGATTCAAAGGACTCAGTAGCCAAGAAGTGGATGCCATAATTTCCTTTGGAATGGTGTAATGAAAACTAGAACAATTTATAGTTATACGCGACAAAAAGCAGACGGGAAACGAAAGATGAGGGAGGGACGCGGCAGAACAATGAAAACGACGACGTGAAGGAGAGAAGGGGGTTATATGAAGTCCATTAAAGAGAATGTAGCGTAGACCAGATGGCAGGTCATGAAAGAGGGAAAGAGCCTATAGGTAGAATGTCTGTATCGTTCAACTGCAGAAAGGTGGATCGCAGCAAGAAGTTTGAATATTCGGATGCCACAAACGACCTTTCTATGATCATGGAAGTTGACTAGGTGTCCAAGGAGAGTTAAGAGGGCACCAGTCACGACGGAACATGAAACAGCTGCACTTCGCCTATTAGTCCGATGTCTCCACTTAAGCAAGTAACCCTGGCACACCTGAGCATTTTCTCCATGCCACCCTCCGCCCTTGAACTCCCGTCTTTCCGAACAAACATATCCCTCCCCCCAAACTCATATTATACATCCACATAGATCAATATTGGTTCGCCCACCCCCTCGATCTCAGGTATAACGCATTTCAAATCGAACGCCTTCGCCAGAACAATCTTGAAGATTTTTTGGACATTTATTGACGCCGATGTAGAACAGAATATCAATGACGCGTGCATGGCACGAGCAAACCGCTTTGCCTTGTAAGTTAACACGTTAGAGATGGTTCATAGTTAATGAAGAGTAAAGGACCTGTTTCGTGATTTCTTCTTGCTCGTCCCGCGGAAATGTTGCGAACGTATCGAATTTAGTGCCGATCAGGAATGGAATGGCGGTCTGCATGTTCGAAACAGGTTGGATAATGAAAAAAAAAAAAAAAGGAATGAGATAAACTACTCGCCTTGTTAAAGCCCCTTGCCTGCCGGTACCATTCCTTGACCGAATTCAAAGTTGACTTCCGTGATAGATCGAACATAAAAAGGATGGCGACTGCATCGTTGCAAACCAAAGGTAACATATTTACAAACTCTCGTTGACCGCCTAGATCCCATATTGAGAAGGTGATGGTCGTTCGCCGGACGGAGATCGTTTTCTCCATGAAATTGACGCCTGCATGGAAAAGTCAGAATGTTGGGCTTCTTCGTGGCGCGAAGCTTACCCAGCGTCTGGATATAATCTTCATCGAAACTACCCTCCACATACTTTACCATCAAACTCGTTTTGCCTATTTGTGAGTCTCCCACCATTCCAACTTTGATAACGACACTGGTACAAATAGCAACATTTAGGAGATATATCGCGCGAAATGAGGCAGGAAGTTTACCTGTTCTTTTCGTCGCTATTTTCTAGAGATAGGTGGGCGGTCTGCCCGTTAGAACCTGCGTTGGTGGCAGGTGTTAGGGAGGTCGAGGAGGATGCGGCGTTCGACATGGTGGATCGAATAGATCACGGGCCTTCGAGATGAAAAATGTCGCAGAGCAATGGGTCCGATAACAGTAGTGCCGAGCAAGGGTATACAGCGTGCGATGGTATTGAAACGAATGAAAGACGAGGATGAAAAGAGGATGAGAAAAAGGAAAGGCGTGTTTTGAGCGACGCAGAGGGTCACTTGGAGGACAAACCTCGAAAGAAGCTGCCTCTAGAAAAAGCTGAAGCGTTTGCTGTCCGAGAGTTGGCCCTCGTCGTCGTCGTCGTCGTGACACAACCAGGCCTGAACGGATTCCTGTTACCCGATCATAAACAACACTGCGCCAAACATTACAATCATCTTGTCCTCAACACTCACTGGTCAGTCTTCAAGAATTTTGCGCCTGTCGAAGAGAAAATCAACAGCACTTTGGTCTTCCCCTATCTTCTGGGATTCTGTGTCCCTTCCAGGTTCTGCCGCTACATATAGATGCTGTCGACTAATCTCTTTTGTCACTAAAGTGTTGGTGAATGAATATAGCCTTGTTCAACTTCCCATTCGCTCTTGGATATTTTATCCTTCAGGCCTCAAATCTTCCTGTATAATACAACGTGATCCCAGAATTGCGGATCATGCGCCATTTGTGCAGACCAGCTATTTGTCACAGTACCGTTTTGAATCTCGCACCTCACGCTCACCACAGTAATTCTAGGTACCTTGCCTTTCAGTCTCAAACTCTTAGCCCTCAGACGTGCTACAACGTTCAAAATGGAAACGTATACCCAAGTATACTCTGCAAGTTATTCACTCACATATTTCACTAACAAGTTCCTCATTGCCCCCTGAACTCGTAAATGAACACTGCGTTAACGGTGAATCTGCCTGGATTTCGGCTGAAGATAATCTCTGGTGTCAAACGCTTAGACGTATATCTTTAATTTCTCGTCAATGGCTCCAGTATGAGAAACATTCAATTTCATAAATGTATGATACTATTTCCGTGCTGTTTCCTCGCTGATCGAAGGAAGTACAGGCTGCCGCCATACATATGCATTACTTGATGCAACCGCACGCCTTTCCGCGATAGATGAGGCCTAGAGTTTTTTCAGAATATAGCTGTATCTCTACAAGAAAGTAAACGCACACATTCCCATCGCCATGGAACATACAGAGGGGTTTGTACACAAGCCGTTACACGTCTTGAATGCCCTGTTATAACATTCCTCCCCTTTCTGTCTGAAGGAGGATCCAGTGACCGTGCGTAAACAATAGAGATCGAACTTACCCTCCTAGAGGGCATCCAGGACCTCTCGCGATGAGCGTCGATGCATCAGAGTCGCTGATGACCGGTTTTGCTTGGGACACCAACCAGGGCGAGGCTAAGAATGCCGCAAAGAAGATGGTAAGTAGCTTCATTATGAGGATTGGTCCGGTCAATGGACGAGATTGGAGAGAGGAGACCTGCTCTGAATTTCAAATCCAGGGATACGCGTGCGACGTTAAATAGTTTTCAATGCCATCTGCCAAATATCTGCGATAATCAAAGGTATGCACTAGGCGCCACCTTCTGAATCAGTTCCGATATCCCCAGAAAACCCCCTAACAATTAGCAATCATATGTTTTGATGCATCAAGCTATTTCCAATATTTGTTTCCCTCTTGTTTTACTTATGTATGGTTTCACGCTTCAAGACATGGTGGACCATGGACCATTGCCCTTTGAAGTCTTGATTTCCCTGTTGCTGGCATGCCGTCATATGCTTCAACGCTTTCCATTAGTTTAAGATTTAGCCACATACTTGCACAATAGATTGGCACCGAGAGATTGCATTCAGAAAGGCCTTGGACTGAAAAACACTCAGCTTTTTACATTAATCCAATAGACGAGTGGAATCAGCAGATAATCGCTGAACCCATATAAAGAATATTGACGCCAACAGGCTGTCAGATGTTTTTTTGGCACAGCAAGAGAGGCATTAATGGGGTAGTGGTAACCTGGGTCGTTGCCATCACGGTTGGATTCGACCCGCCGGGGGTTCGATTCCCCCTTAATGCAATTTCATTTTACAGTCAATCTTCTTCATCTTTCGACCATCAAATTGTCGTCTTGACAATGCCAACTTCTTACTGCAGGGTAGCTAGTAGCTATCTTCTTCTCCTTCTACACATTGTCTTTCTTTCCATCATATTTTTCGTTCTCTTTCTGCCATGACCTTTACAGCTGCTGGCAAGCTCAAGATCGCCACTCATGGTCAGGCACGCGATGCTTTGCTCCTGCTGGCTGATTAACACCAAGCTTGCTATTAGCTTCACTCCTTATCGTGGATATACTTGTTTTAGTTTTTGCAACCCGCGTGAATCGCTTCCAGGAATTTTTCTGTGAGCATCACCTCTAGCATCGCTCCAGACAGGTCGATTGGTGCTTATTCCTTGGCGCGCCCCACTCCAAGTTATGGCGGACATCTTCCCTTTTGTGCTGTCCATCGTGACATTGGTTCTTCTGATTGCCGCGTGTGTACTTTGAAAAATCAAGCATAAAAATCGCACTCAAAATGAGTTTCCAGACTCTCCCTCGACCTTGCGGTAAAGAATTCTTACACCGGGCGTGCACAATTTGAAATCGGGCTGTTTGGGCTACTGAGCATATTCTGGCTCGGTAGGCATTGCTTTATCACCGGTACTGGTTAATTGATTGACCGAGGTAGCTTTCAATGCTTTCTCGACTGCACGCTGGCGCCTTATTCCTTTCCACTGTAACACCAACATAGTGCCGAATGGTCTGTCACGCTCTTGTCTAACATCGTCCTTGCTGGTGATTATATATATGATCTAGAATCATATCCTGGTGAACTGGTGTGGTGCAAAGATGTCCAGACTTTGAAGGGACTTGTGTGGATTGAATTCGTGCTATGTATGTGCTGGTGTCAACTTAGCATAATAAGGCTCGTCTCACAAAACATCTTTCAGGCTTCGTAACCTGTGCTATGACATCTCGATACGCATTCACCCAGTACAATCGCGGCTATAAACATATATTCAAGATGCCTCTCTCCCGTTATCGCCCCGAGTTCGTTCAGGGGGGCATTAATCATGCACGGGATAGCGAATTCTTACAGTACGAGAAGGTTATGTAGCTGTGGGGGAACATTTGCAGCTTCTTTTTTTTCTCAACGGTGCGAGACACCGTAATCTGTACCTTTCTGATGTTCAGGCGTCTTGATACATACTTTCCCTTGAATTTAGTTTTCAATGTTACACATCACAAGTTCATCCCTTGCGTCACAGAGAAAAGAGATTGTGGCGTGAAGAAGAAAACATTGCCAATTCGAAACATGCAAGCAGAACTGCGCCTTTGCATTTTCAGTAAGTATCCCAGACTACACCACATGCCATGAGAGTAAAGGTAAAATATGATACGAATGGCGAGAACGAAATGCAGTGGAGGGGGGAAGGTGGTAGGTTAATAGAAAAGGTTTGGTATAAGGTGCTCAAGGATACAGAGTAACGAACCAGAGGAAAGACTGTAATGGGAGCTACGCTTTATGTATACAAACTATGTGTCCACGCGAAAGAAAATACAGTGGCTGGAAGGAACGAGAAAGGCGCAGACAACGAAGAAAGGAGAGGAATAATACATAGATAGTTGATGAGCCCAGTGGCATGTTCTTCGAAAAAACCACACATAAATAAGCAAAAATGCAAGGCCAAGTTGCACCCTATATTGCGCTCGGATAACTAACACTTTCGCTTAGATGTTCGTTTGCAGGGTTATAAGTGAACCCTCTGAATTGGTCCTGCACCGTTTCGGACAGCGCAGAATCAGTGACAACCGAGTCCTGAGCCTCTTCATTGGTGAAATCAGGATCAAAGTTTGCGACGTCCAAAACGGATTCCTGGAGGGGCAAATTGACATATGATCAAAAAATGAATTCCAAGAACTATACTTACGACGCTGGGCTTGAATGGAGGTTGTATTTTTTTTGCCATGAGCCTAAAGGCACGTGTTAAACAAGGTTCAAGGGAAAACGAGAAACAGACGTACTTGTTCCAGTCGATGTATTTGGCGAAGAAGGGGTGCCTCTTAATCTCCTCTCCTCCATTGGCACCGAGGCGCTTTGTAGGATCTCTCTGTAGAAGTCCCCACATCACGCTTCGTGCCTCTGAAGGCATGTCCGGAGGGAAATTGAGTGGGTCCGATAGAATCCGTTGGTACATGGCGTTTACGTTCTCGTCATAGAACGGTGGCAAACCAGTCTGTTGTTGTGGCGATTCCGATTGTCAAACGTCAAACAAGCGCACCAGTGAAAAGTTGTTCCACAAACCATCATCTCGTAAAGTAGCACACCCAGCGTCCACCAGTCGACCGTCTTGGTGTATCCTTGGCTTTCCAATAACTCTGGCGCGATGTATTCGGGAGTGCCACAGAAAGCTAAAGGGAATGAGAATCTTCCCTCGACAGTCAAAGACTAGTATAACACGTACTATTGGTCTTCTCAGTCTCAGACATGTTGAGTTTGCAAAGCCCTGGATGTCAATGAGACGCTGTCATTATGAAGTAAATGACCGAACTTGCCGAAATCGCACAAGGCGATGTGTCCAGTATAGTCCAAGAGAATATTCTCTGGCTTAAGGTCGCTACAAATTTTGATCAGAAATTCTGCTGCAGATGAGAGCTAGGTATTTACCGATAAACAACGTTGAACCCATGGAGATGTTCCAGGGCACAAAGAAGCTCTGCGGCGTAGAAACGGCTACGATCCTGATCAAATTTTCCCTCCCTCTGAAGGTGGTAGAACAGTTCGCCTCCGTTTACTAAGGAGTTTCGTCAATGCTGTCCGTACCGTTGAAAGCGGAGAATGCGCTCGCACCAAATGACATGACCAGATACAACTTATCGGGATTTTGGAAGGAAAACTTGAGGGGAACGATGAATGGGTTATTCACCAATGCAAGCACCGTTCGCTCTGCGAGGATGTGCGTAATTTCGCCGGGGCGTTGGGCAATGTGGGCTTTACGAATAGTTTTCAGCGCGTAGATTCGTTGGGTGTCCTTCTTGCGAACTTGCATAACTTTTCCAAAGCTGCCTTTGCCGATAACTTTCAGTAAGTCAAAGGCTTCAATTGTAAGGGGTTCATTTCGAGTAGGCTTGAAGTCGATCTTGAGGTGGAATGATCCCGAGCCAGCTATGGCGTTATACCACTGATCGGACGCGTGCTATTAAATACATTTAGAAGAGTGATACTGTAGTCGTGGGTTGAAGGGCTTACATGTCCTTCTAGCATGGGGATAAGATCCACTTTTCCCATAAGCAAGTCATTGCCCATGTCGTCCTGACCAGCTGCTGCGGTACGAAGGTAAGCTGATACTGAAATGTTAGAAGTACGAGAGACATCGCTGTGGTGGGCAGATTTATGTCAATCAATTGCGCCAAATAGTGAGACAATAGTTACGCACAAGTCGGCGCGGTAGTTCCAAACAGGGTTCGAAAGATCACCACCCATCGCATCAATCAAAATCTCGTTCTTGTCGAATTCGAGGACAACGTAAGGGAGCCACCAATTGCGTCTGCGCTGGAGACTGTCACGGTTGCTAGTCGAGCGTCGCGCAGGGGGGTTTGAGTCGAGCGCTTTTTGAATGACATCCGGAATGAGAACACCAGGTGGAAGAGAAAGTCCACGGCCTATTCTGCGTCAGGGATCATGCTAACGGTAGAAAAGGCGCCGAGTTCCACGTACCAGAGAAGATGCGGATGGTGAGCATACCGGACCTGAACTGATCAGGCCCACCAGGAGGCTTGGGCGTCGTAGGACGCGATGGTATGGGGGTCACAGATCTAGATATGACCCCATTCTCCCTGCTGTCTTTTGATTCTGTAGATGAGAAGAAAGGGTTAGTTGGTGGGATTCGTTGGTGGACCAGTGATGAGAAAGGGTTTGGAATGAGACGACTGACTCTTGGAACCAAGCTTTGCCCAGGACATGATCTGGAATTGGTTATATGGGTTAGGAAGGAATGAAGATGATGGATGGCCGCCAGCGACTGTGCTGTATAAGACTCGGTCTGGTCTGAATCAGACTTGTCACAAAAAAGGAAATGGCTTGATAAGATCATCATAACCAGATTATTACAATCTTAGTAGTAAAGTATTATACTCCTACACATTACTTTCTATCCTCTTCTTTTTCTTAAAGATCTCCTTCTTCTTCTCCGGTTCGGGTGGTGCTGCAACAAGCTCGCGGAAAGATATACCTTGTTGTAGTGCAACCGCCGCTGCATGGCAACCGTCTGTGAAACGTCGGAGCACATCTCTTCCGATGTTGCTAACAACATTCTGTATTGGGACAAATTACTTTTAGCAACAAATTGCTGTTCAAGACCCAAAAAAGTCTTTCTACCTTGTCAGCGATAAAAGGATCCAGTACACGGATGCACTTGTTTTCGCGCGCTGGTATGTCTTTGTCAGGTTCTTCGCTATCAGTCAAGATACGTCCATGACGAATGGAGACAGTTGATTGAGCAGGCGAAAATTCTCCAGACCAAAACCTAGTGAACATTAGTCGCAGTCAACGCACAGCAGGGCGCTACTCACTGGAACCAATCTTGCATGACCTCGCGCAGTGATGGGGTGGATTGCGGTTTCCAGCCCCATATTTCTCTATGATACCTAATATCGCATGGGACGTGTCTCTTGTGTCTGAGCACCCAGAAGACGCTATCACTAGTAGGGTTCAAGGGCGGGATGTTCTGCTGGAGGTTCGGGAGCAAACCACGTGCCTGTACAAAAAAGTTCGTCAATTGGCCTTTATGTCATAACACCATAAGCTGACCTGTAAGAAGCCTATGGTCATGAGAGTGAAAGCATAGCTGCTAAAGCTTGGCGGTTCTTTTAATCGTGCACCAGGACTGTTCAAATTACGAGGCTTTGCCCATAGCTTGATGATTAGTAGCATGGGTTGCAACAAGGGTGATGCCTGACAGTATGCCCTTATCATGTGTGTGTTGAGAAAGCCGAGGCGTTCATTGACACATATATCACAGTCTTGACCGGTTTTCAAA